CTCGGCGACGCCGTTCCGGTTGCCCAGCAAAGCGACCAGGGGCAGCGAGTCCGCCTGGTCGCTCGTCGCCGCGACGACGCCCAGGCGCCCCAGCAGCTTCAAAGCCCGCAGGGCCTCGCCGCAGGCGATGGCGTCGTAGAACGCGAGCGCGCCGCCCATCTCGTCGGGCGACGAGCCCGCCGTCGGCGCCGGCGGCCGCGCGTCGGGCCCCAGGTCGCAGCCGCCCTTGGCCATGCGCTCGGGCCAGGCCAGGAGGCGGCTCAGCACGCACTGGGCGCACCGCCGGAGCTCGTCGAACAAATTCTGCGTCGCCGGCGGCGCGTCCTCGCCCGCGCGCTTCAGCGCGAGCGCGTCGCCGTGGCGCGGCGCGCAGCGCACGGCCAGCGACGCCAGGAGGCCGAGCGCGCTCGGCCGCAGCAGGAAGTCGTGGTGGTGCACGCGCCGCGCGAGCCGCGCGAGCTTCTCGAGCGCGCCGGCCTTGGCGCCGCCGCAGCAGTGGCGGAGCGCGTCGAGCGCCGCGAACGCGGACAGCGGCAGGGGCCCGTCGTTCTGGTCCGGGTTCTCCTCGTCGGCGGCGCCGGCGAGGTGGCGGTCGACGACGCGGCTCAGCAGCTTCCGCGCCTCGACCTGCTGCCGCGCGCCGAGCGCGGCCGCGGCCGCGGCGTCTCGCACGTTCGCGGCCCACGTCGCGCACGCCGCGTCGTCGAGGCCGCGCGCGGGGTCCGCGGCCTCGGCCGCCAGCGCCGCCGCGAGGGCCGCGACGTCGCCGGCGACGTCGGTGGGCGGCTCGCCCCGGCTCGGCGCGCCCTCGCGGCCCGGGTGCAGCGCGCCCATCGCGCGCGCGATGCCCAATACCACGTCCTCCGCGAGGTCGTGGTAGGCGCCGCTCGGCGCGCGCTTCTCCGCGGCGGGCGCCGGCGCGGGCGCCGGCGGCGGCGGCGGGGCCGCGGCTTTCGACTTCGAGTTGAGCGACTCGGGGTAGTTCTGCGGCGAGCCCACGCGCTCCATCGCGCCGCTCAGCACCTCCAGATCGAGGAGGATGATGACCGCGCGGTTCTGGATCCAGGTCACGCGGTAGTCGAGCAGCCGCACGAGGCAGCCCTTGACGAGGTGGCCGTCCGTGACGAGGGCGTTGAGCTTCGCGACGGCCATGCAGCGCAGGAAGTGGACCGTGTCGGACACCAACACGCGGTAGCGGTCCGCGGTGCCCTCCTTGGCGCTGTTCCGCACGTCGAGCGCCTGGAGCACGGGCCGGAACGTCGCCTTGTCCGCCGAGTCCTCGACGATGGCCTTGATGGCGTAGGGGTCGCACTGCACCATGGCGCGCGGCTATGCGTGGGCGCGCGCGCGCGAGTTATTTTTTGCGACCTCGCGGGCGCGGGCTGCGACCAGCCGCGCTGGCGGCGGACGGCGGCGGCGACGAAGCGGCGCGGCCCCGCCGACGTCGACCGCGGCCGCGGCCCCGGGCCCCGCGCCGCCGCGTGCGCGTCCAATGCGCAGAGGAGCGACGCGATTGGGGCAGCTTTGGACGATCGGGCAGCGTCGACGGCGCCGAAGCTCGGTGATGTTTCATGCGATGTTGAATCTTGACCTTTCGAGGTGAGGCATGGTGGATTGCAATTTCTCGTAATCGAGCGGTCCTCGTAGCCGCGCACCATCGGCGCCTCCCGTAGAGCCATGCGCTACGTGCTCACCTTCCTGCGCCTGTGCCTGCTGCGCGCCGTCGCCTGCAAGCGCATCGTCGTCGTGGGCGGCACGCACGGCAACGAGTACACGGGCGTGTACCTCGTCAAGGCGCTGCTCGCCACGCCGGCGCTGGACAACGTCGAGCCCTTCCTGGCGAACACGCGGGCCATCGCGCTGAACCGGCGCTTCTGCGACGAGGACCTGAACCGGTGCTTTTCGCGGGCGCGGCTCGACACTCCCAGAGACACCGTCGAGGCCGCGCGCGCGGCGGAGATCGACGCGGCGCTCGGGCCCAAGGGGTCGCCCGCCGCCGCGGACCTCGTCGTCGACCTCCACACGACGACGGCGAACATGGGCACGACGATCATCGTCGACGCGTGGTGCCCCTTCGCGCTGCGCTGCGCGGCCTACGTCCAGGCGCGGCTCGCCGGCGTGCGCATCCTCTTCAACGACATCCGCGACAAGGCCGCGTCGCCCTACCTCGCGTCCGTCGGCGCCGACGCGCTCCAGATCGAGGTCGGCCCGACGCCCCAGGGCCTCGTGCGCGCGGACGTCGTCGCGGCGACGCGCGCGGCGCTCGAGGCCGTCGTCGAGTTCGCGACCCTCGACGGCGACGACGTCGCGCTGCCGGAGACCGTGATGGCGTTCTCCACGGCCGGGTCGCACGCGAAGCTCGCGTGGCCCGTCGACGCCGACGGCTTCCCGACGGCCGTCGTCCACGAGGCGCTCCAGGACCGCGACTGGGCGCCCCTCGCCGCGGGCGACGGCCTCTTCCGGACCTTCGACGGGGCCGAGGTGCCCTACGACGGGAGCCTCGGCGACCCGGTCTACCCCATCTTCATCAACGAGGCGGGCTACTACTACGCGTCCAGCGGCCGCGGCATCGGCCTCGCGAAGAAGCTCACGCTCCGCGTGCCCCGGCGCGGCGCCGCGGCCTGCGAGGCCGCCGACTAAACGCGCCGCCTAGTACGCGGGCGGGTGCTGCTCGTGGAGCTTCGCCTTCGGGCTCCGCCGGCGCGGCGACGGCGGCGGCGGCGCCGGCCGGGACCGCGGCGAGGGCCCCGGCGGCGGCGGCGGCCGGGTCCGCGGCGGCGTCGGCGCGGTGTCGTCGTCGGAGTCGCTGCCGCTCGCGTCGTCGTCGGAGTCGCTGTGGTGCGGCTTCATGGACCCGCCGCCGCCCTGGCCGAGCGCCATCAGAAACTGGGACGCGCGGTGCAGGTGCGCCTTGCCGCCGCGGCGCTTGTCCTCGCAGCGCACGAGGTGGTCGCGCACGAGGAAGAGCGCGTAGTTGTCGAGCGGCGGCACGCGGAGGAAGAAGTAGCCGTGGTGCTGCGCCTGGCCGACGAGCGCGAAGGCGGAGACCACCGTGAGGAAGGCCATCTCCTGGGCGCGCTCCCTCAGGGCGGCGAAGGCCGGCGTCGCGACGCAGCAGGGCGACACGGCCAGGGGCCGCCGGAAGAGGTAGCAGAGGTGCAGCAGCGGCACGGCGAAGACGAGGAGCCGCAGCTTCCGCCGCCGCTCGTTCGCGGCGCCGACGAAGGCCAGCGCGAGGTCGCCGAGGGACGTCGTCGCGCCGAGCAGCCGCGCGAGGTCGAAGCTCAGGCCGCCGATGACCGCGACGTGCGCCGCGACCCAGTAGACCCGGAGCGCCGCGGCGACGGCCGCGTCGCCGCCCGCGGCGAGTTCGGCGCGGCACGCGGGCTCGTCGCAGGGCGGCTCCGTCGCGTAGACGTACTGGTCGAGGTCGTAGCCGTGGAACGCGTAGATGCGCACGAGCGCGCCGCGCAGCGCCACGAGGCTCGTCACCGTCGCGGGGATGGCGATGGCCCGCCGGTTGCGCACGGCCCAGACGGGGCGCCGCAGGATCCCGTTCCAGCGCCGCTCGAAGTAGTCCGTCACCCGCAGGCTCTTGTGCTCGCGGCCCACCCAGCTCGCCATGGATGGCGGCGTGCAAAGGGCAGCCCGGCCCGATCGGAACGCAAGCGCGGTCGCGCCGGCGTGCAAGGGCAGCCCGGCCCGATCCCAGCTCAATCGGGCGCGAGCTCTCCGGATTGAAAGTGCACGATCAGGGAACGATCGACCCTGGAGTTCCACTGCCACTGGACCAGGGCAGCATCGCGCAATGCGCGTCGTCATCCTCGGCAGCGGCGCCGTGGGCTGCCTCTTCGCAGCGCTGCTCGACGAGGCGGGCCACGACGTCGCGCTCGTCGCGCGCGACTCGCCCAGCGGCAACGCGCGCGCGGCGAGACTGCGCGCGTGCGGCCTCGTGCTCAAGAGGCACGGCTTCGATGCCGTCGTCCTCGCGCCGGAGCGGCTGGCGAACATGCTCGTCCCCGCCGCCGAAGCGTTGACGACGTGCGAGGCCGTGATCGTGACGGTGAAGCGCAACGGCAACGCCTGGGTCGGCGGCCTGCTCCGCGACCACGCGCCGGCGGCCGCGACCGTCGCCTGCGCGCAGAACGGCCTGGGCCAGGCCGACGAGGTGCTGCGCGGCTCGGCGCCCTGGGCCGGCGTCGTTCTGGACGGCATGCTCTCCGTGAGCGTCAACTACCGCGACGACGGCGGCGCCGCGCCGGAGGTCGCCACGTACAGCCCGCGCGCGCGGGAGCGGCTCGCGCTCGACGGGTCCCAGGGCGCCGCCGCCGCGACGGTCGCCGCGGCCCTCCAGGGCGCCGCCTTCACGAGCGCGGCCGTCGCCGACATCGGCGCGGCGCAGCGCACGAAGATCATCCTCAACCAGAACAACGCCGTCTCCGCGCTCTTCGGCTTCTCCGTGCGCCGGGCCATCACGACGGCGGTACTTCACGACGTATCCAAATCGCCTACTCATGTCCTCATCCAAGCCCTTTAGGTATCGCGGCGCCTCATGGCCGGATGCATGCTCGAGGCCAAGGCCGCCTTCGAGGCCCAGGGCTTCGCGCTCGACGAGAAGCTCCTCGGGCCGCTCAAACTCCTCGCGCTCCCGGACTGGCTCTTCGACTGCGCGTTCCCGCTCATGGCGCACCTCCTCCCCGCGGACGAGTTCGAGAGCTCCATGAACCAGGACATCTTCGACGCGGGCCGGTCCACGGAGGTCGCCTACCTCAACGGCGCCGTCGTCGCCGCGGGCGAGGCCGCGGGCGTGCCCACGCCGCTCACGGCCAGGGTCCTCGCCGTCGTCCAGGACATGGAGGCGGGCCGCCGGCCGCGCGCGCGGCTCACGACGGACGACGCGGCCGCCTTCTTCGACTAGGGCACAGGTCGCTTTAGGGCACAAAAACTAGAGGCGCGTCAGGAGCGCGCGGTCGGGGCCGTCGTCGCCGAGCGCGGCGTACGGCATCTCGAACGACGTCCGGTCGCCGCGGTGCGCCGGCGGCGGTCGATCCCGCGCGAACGAGACGTAGGCCCGCCGGAGGTAGATGATCACGAGCAACAGGATGAAGAATAGAGGCACGATCAAGGCCGTCAGTATCGTCGCGAGCTTCGCCGTGGACTCCTCCTCCGTGCGCTCCTCGATGCCGTCCTGCTCCATCTTCCCGGCGCGATAGAGGACGCCTCCGAATAAGCGGCGTGGGCCGGCGCACGAGCGAACGTCCCGACGAGCGCCGATAGGCAGAGCGCGGAGTCGATTCTCCACTAAAGCTCAAGGTGCACTTCAAGTAACTCCCTAAATTCTTACCGCCTAGCCCGGGTACGTGTGCGCCTCCGGCATCATGGAGCGCAGCTGCTTGAACTGCTCCTTGGCGTCGGCGGACGCCTTGGCGCCGCGGCGGTACGTGATCTCGACCTCCTTCTTCTTCTTCTTCTTCGGGATGCGGTGGCCGAGGGCGTCGAACTGGGGCTTGTCGGCCTTGGCGTCGACCTCGACGACCTTCTCCTCGACGCTGTGGTGGTCGAAGATGTTGTCGAGGCGGTGCGCGAGGTCGCCGACGCGCTCGTCCTCGATCTTGGGCGCGGCGACGTCGTCGAGCTTGTTGAACTGGAAGCTCGCGGGCCGCGCCTTCGTGTGGTGGATGACGCCGTCGAGCCCGACGAAGGTGCCGACGCGGTGGGCGACGTCCTGGCGCTCCGTGTCCACCTCCAGCAGCTCCCGCGCGCGCTGCCGCTTCTCGGTCCGCTCCTGCTCCCGGAGCCGGAACTTCTCCTGCTCGTTCTGCGACAGGCCGAGCTGGTTGCCCCAGTCCGTGCCGCGGTCGTCGTCGTCCTCGTCGGCGGGCGCGTCGTCGTCGTCGCCGTCGTCGCCGCCGCCGTCGTCGGCCGCGGTCCACGGCTTCCTCGGCGGCCGGTCGACGCCCGTGGCCCGCGGCGCCGTCACAAAGGTCGCGTCGTCGCCGAGTTCTCTTCCGCGGCCCGGCGGCGAGCCCAGGAGCCGTGCCGTCGACCGGTTGAGCTCGTGCGACGGCGACAGGCGCTCGCCGCAGCGGCTCGCGCGCGCGCGGACCCGCTCGAGGTCCACGCCCTGCTCCGCGGCCTGCTGGCTCGCGGACACGAGGTTCCCGATGGTCCGCCGCGCGTTGAAGGTCTCGAGCTCCCGGAGCTCCGCGCGCCGCTTCGCGCGCTCCTCGTGGCGCCGCACGGCCGCCGCGCGGTCCGCGGACTTGGCCCGCGCGACGGCCAGCGCCCGCTCGACGACGGCGAGCACGACGCCCCGGCACGCCAAATGCCGCGTCTCGACCTCGGCGCGCTGGAGCCCCGCGAGGAACGCGCGCAGGTCCACGGCGCGCCGCGACGCCGCGCGGCCCGGGTCGAGGTAGGCGACCATGGCCTCGCAGTCCGCGTGGGCGATGCGCCAGCCCAGAAGCCAGGTCACGCCGTCGCGGAACTCGTCCGCCGTCACCGTCTCGAAGCCGCGGCCCCGGTGGAGCGCGGCGAAGAAGGCCTGCTCGACGACCTCGATGGACGACCGCGCGAGCTCGCCGCCGAGCACCGCGGCGACGCGCGCGCGGAGCTCGAGCGCGAGCCGGCGCCCCGCGTTGTGCAGCGCCGCGGCCGTGAAGGGGTTCGGCTTGCTCCGGTGCAGCATGCCCAGGTCGCGCTTCATGCGGCTCTGGAGGCGGCGCTTGGCGCCGTCGTCGAGCAGCACGGGGTCGCTCCGCGAGATGCGCAGCACGGGCAGGGGCGTCATGCCCCGGTCCGCCAAGGCCCGCTTCAGGTGCGTGAGCGGCGGCGCGCGGCGCCAGCGCTCGACGGCGGCCCGGCCCGCCGCCACCGTGCCGCGGTGGTCCCGCCCGGGCACGCGCGACCGCCGCGACGCGAGCATCTCGTCGGCGGGCGTCCGCGTCGGCGAGCTCGCGGTCGACGCGCGCGCCATCACCGACGGCCGGCCCCGGCCGGGGCTGCCCGCGCGCGACTCGCCCGGCCGCCGGCTCAGCTGCTTCCGGCCCGCGTCGGCCTTGACGATGCCTGTCATGGAGTTGCCCACGAAGTGCGCCTTCGGCCGTTGCTTTATTGTCTGGCGCGGCGGCGACACGAGCGAGAGGCCGTACGCGTCGAGGCCGTCGCGCGCCGCGGCCGGGTTCGGCGGCGGCGCCGCCGCCTCGTCGGCGGGGCCCGCGGCGGGCACGGCCGACGGCGGGCGCGCGGCCCGCGCCTGGGCCTGGCGCGCGGCCTCCTCCTTGGCGCGCCGCTCGCGGTCCTCCGCCGGCAGGAAGTCGATGGGGTCGATGCCGAGGAGCGTCTTCGCGTCGGCCTTGCGCAGGTCCCGCCGCAGCGTGACGCCGAGCTGGTCCTCGTGGCGCGCCTGCACCTCTTTCTGCCGCCGCCGCATGAGCACCGTGACCACGCGGCTCGTCTCCGCCTCGCGCCGCTTCGCCAGCTCCGCCTGCCACTGCGACTGGAGGCGCCCGCCCACGCGGCCCATGGTCCGCGCCGGCGCGCCGGACGCGTCGTGGGACACGGGCTCCACGCAGTGCCGCGGCTCGCCCGTGAACGACATGGCGGGCCGCCGCCGCGGCGCGCGCGCCGTGCGGCAGCGC